GTGAGAAACGCTGTCCTCGGAACATCCTACTCCCTAACCCGAAGTTGATGATACCCAGACTGCAGATCAATCTTAGAGAAATAAGTAGCTCCCCTCAACTGATAAAAAAGATCATCAATCCTGGGCAAAGGGTACTTGTTACGAATGGTAACCTTGTTCAACTCCCTGTAATCTATACACAACAGAAGTGAACCATCCTTCTTCTTCACAAATAAAACCGGTGCTCCCTAGGGTGAAGTACTCCTGCGAATAAAACCCTCGTTGAGTAATTGCTAAATCTGATCCCTCAGCTCTCGCATTTCCACCGGTGCCATCTTATATGGTGCCCTAGTAATAGGCGTAGTGCCTGGAGCTAAGTCAATCACAAAGTCAATCTCTCGACTAGGTGGCAACCTTGGAATCTCCTGAAATACATCCGGGAAATCCTGTACTATTAATATGTTATCCAATGTTACAGTAGTCCCCTCCTCCGTTTCCTTCTCCATATGAAACAAATAGGTGCTAGTGGCCCCGCTAGAATGCGGCATAGCAACGACGTATATGTCCTGACCAGGTATGGTGAATATAACTTACCTATCATAATAATCAACTTGGGCATGATAATGCGATAATAAATCTATCCCAAGCATCACATCATAAGTGTGTATGTCCAGGACCAAAAGATTGGTTAGAAATCTAAGTCTACCAATATCTAGTGTCACAGGCCCATCACTCTCATAAAGAATGGCTGTATTACCTAACGGTGTAGAAATACCATGAGGTAAACTGCATACCCGAGTCGTCATCCCAGATAAAATAACAAAAGATCTAGCTACAAATCAGTGTGTAACACCCGTATTAAACAAAACACGTCTATGTAAACCATGAATAGGAAACTTACCTTCAACAGCCTGAGGTGCTTGCATATCCTGTGACATGGGGTTATACACCCTGCCATAATGTAGCTGCTGCGGTGCCTATTCCTGAAGCTACGGCGGTGCCGGTAAAGCCGGATATGTTTATCCCTGAATCCGTGGAACATGTGGAGCTGGTAAAGGCACTGGCGCCCTCTGTCCCTACTGCACATGATGTCCCTGTCCCTGTCTCTGTCCCTGTCTTGTTGTAGAATACTGCCTGGAAGTGTGACCATACTCTCTACAAGTGTAGCAACTACCCTAGAAAGTACCAAATGGCTTCCTCTGTTGGTTAGCCTGTAGCTGACCCTGTCCTGCTCGTGGTCCCCCATTCTGTTGTCGTTGAATAGGTGCCACATCTCTGGGAGCATCTGAACCACCCTTGTGCTTCTTTCAAGGCTGCTGTCCCTAGAATTTGCCTTTGTCATTCTATCGGTGTCCGTTCCCATTCCCTTTCTCAGCTGACTGATTAGCAGAGTCTCTGTCACCCCGCTTCTCACCCTTGGCCTGTCTGAAATCCACGGTCAACTGATACAACTGTAGAGCGGCGTCTGCCACCTGAGCATAGGTAGTATAAGCTAGACTACCTGTAATAGCTCTCTCGATAGACCACATCAGTCCCTTAACAAAACTGTTGCACTTCTTCTCTTTTGTATCCACCTCATCCGGTGCAAAAAGAGATAAGCGTGTGAACTGTTGCTCATACTCCGCCACTATCGTGTTTCCCTGCTGCAGATTAAGAAACTCAGTCTTCATGGCTGCCCTGACTGCATAAGGAAGTACTTCTCTTTAAAGCATGCACTGAACTCATCATAAGTCAATGCCATCATCTCCTCTATGGTGGTAATTGACTCCCACCATTGCAGTGCATCCCCAACTAGCTTGAAGGTAGCAAGCATCTGTTTCTAAACCTCCGTGTACTGAACCAAGTGAAGATGTCGCTCGATGTCCTATTTCCACTCGTGAGCTGCTCTCGCATCGGTGGAGCCTGTGAACTCAGGTGGGCTCCCCTTTGTGAAAGAACTCCTGGTCTTTTCCCAAGTATCAGTCTGAATAACCGGTGCTGGTAACGGTGCCGGCTATACCTGAGGCTGATTTCAAAATGCAGCGGTTACCCCTGCTTCTATAGCCCGAGCAATAAGGTCATTGAGGTGAGGAGGATAATTTGGATCTTCTCCCTGATCCCGAGTCTGCTGAACTTCCTGCTCCTCAAAAAACTGACCATCATCCTCCTGATGCTACCTATGGGCCGCTTCCCTTCGTCGTTGATTGTTCTGTCTGGTTCTTGCGTTAACCATTCTGTCAATACAAAAAGATAGACATCAGCACGATTAAACCACACCGTAAAGGAATACAATAAATCCTAAACTTAAGCTCTAAACAATAGAGAATGCTATGCGGAAGTCTTATACGATAGAATCCTAGAGATACTTGAACCTGGAGTGCTCTGATACCAACTGTGAAACCCCTCGAATCCGAGACACGGGTTGATCAGGCCCATGCCCAAATCCGAGGGAATATTAAACAATTAATATTTAAAACGAACACAGATTACAAAATTGAATAAGAAATTATTAATAGCTGGAAGAAAACTAAATAAAATCTTTAAATATTAAATCTTAAAATCCACTAATCTGAAACCTCCAATTAATTAACAACTCGGGGAATCCATTTAGTGGACCCCTAGTAAAAATCCTAACTATAAAATAAAATAACTGAAATAAGATCTAAAGCTGATAAGTAAACAGTCCTACGTAGTCGGTGGAATAGAAGTCTGTATCTACTCTGCAGAACCAAGCTCTAACCCTGGAACTGACGAGCACCTGAAAAATAAAAGAGTAGGTCAGACCCATATGCAAGTTCTATTATACTACGATCCAAACAAGAATCCGATACGCAGATACATCCTAGATAGACTCGACAATATCTAGAGTAGTCCATATATGTATATATTTGAGGATGCGGCAAGTGGCATGGGCCAGATATAGTTCGCTGAAACGGGATCGGGTCGAATGATTGAAGTAGGATCCATGCCAAAGCGCCCTGGAATGGGCCGAACCTGGGGGATCCACTGAGGAAGGTCAAGCCCATTGGAAGATCAAGCCCAGAAGGAAGAGAGCTTTTGAATATAGGCCCAATGTAATCAGTTAACAGCAATAAGGGTGATGGCCTATAAATAGACCATTACAGGTGGAAAGTAGAGAAGAAGAATTCTGGAGAGAGAGAGATAGGAAAAGAGAGAAGAAATGAAATCTTGCATCTTCAATTGGCGCCGTCTGTGGGAAACGAGGACGAAGATCAATTCGAGCCAGATCAATACCATGTTAGTTCAATCGAGTTTGTGAGTACGCAGTGTGGTTTCTGGAAGTTGAATCTAGATCAATGAGATTGTAGTTTGTTCAGAGAGAATTCTTGCTTATTGTGGATTCTGAGACATTTGCTTCGGAATGACGCAATTGTGATTTGCTCAATTGCAATCAGATCCGATGAGTTTGAAGCTAGAAAAGTTCAGATCTAGCAAACAGTGATCACGATTCGGTGAAGTTAAGCCCAGATCTAACGGAGTTTGCATCGGAAACGCTTCGATCTGTTTCCGAGTTCGTAATTCATGCCTTTGCTTCGATCCGGAATCATGATAGGGGGTGACAACTCTAATACGGTTGAGAACGTCTAGCAAGTGAAACTTGATGAGTTGATGAACATGATCGAAGCTCTCCGGAGGGAAAATGCAGATCTAAAGACTGAAATGCAGCGTCAAGAAGCTCTAGTAATTCCACGACCACTCCCCTTAGGAGAAGAAGGTGCACGTACCAATGCAGCACATCACGATGAGGAGGTTGGAAACAATCTAGTAGATCCTCACCGCGAGGAAATCAGGCGAGACGGTTTGCCGCCGAATCTTCGTCGTATTGATGATCGTGAAGGATTGACTCACATAGATCCACGGTGTGAGCAGATCAGGCGAAACGAAGCAATGACTTTTGATCCACATCAAGAAACGCTCAGCCGAGGTGAAGCAACAGAGTTGATTCGTCAGAAAGCTATGCCTCCATGGCGCAAAGACTTTGTTAAAGACAGATCATTCGATCCGACCTATCGGCCTTCCATGACGACGTTCGACTATCACAGCTCAGAAAGGAGATCAGTAGACCAGAGAGCAGCCGCGGGGTTCCAGAGGGAAAATGAAGCACTCCGTTCAGCAGCTCGAATGGTTGATTCACCGTTCACAGATGAGATTCTGAATGCTCTGAGTCCGAGGAAATTTTCCATGCCCGTTTTCATTCTGTTCGACGGAACGACTGATCCGATCGATCATGTGTATCACATCCAGCTGAAAATGGCTCTAAACACTAAGAATGACTCATTGATGTGCAAGTGCTTTCCTACGAATCTGGCCGGACCAGCTCTGAATTGGTTCAAGAACCTGCCGAGGGGTTCAGTGGATAGTTTCCGAAGCTTGTGTGATCGGTTCATAAGCCAATACTATGGAAACAAGCATCCAGCGAAAGATATTTCGAGCCTATTCACAATGAAGCAACACGCTGAAGAGCGTCTCCAGGCTTTCCTAACCAGGTTTAACCTTACCAAGAGCATGGTTATTGAATGTCACCTTTCAACGGCAGTTCAAGCATTCATACTGGCCATGAATCGTGGCACCCCGTTCCACACAAGCTTGGTGGTCAACACGCCGAAGACTATGGATGAACTTAACGAAAGAGCCTATGGATTTGTGCGCTTGGAAGAAGAAGAGGTGGCAAACGCTCGGAAGACATCCGTTATATCCACAGAAGAAAAGACCAAAGCAAAGATCAGGCAAAAACAGGTTCAGCCGCAACGCTCCTCGTGGAAATCTGAGAAGAGCTGGTTACTCCATTGAAAGTTACCCTAGCGAGACTGTACCAAGAAAATAAAAATAAGTTCCGACCTCCTTTACCAATCAGACAACCTCTCGAACAGAGGGATCAGTCTAAGCACTGTGCATTTCATTCTGATTTTGTCCACCAGACTAACGAATGCAGGAACCTAAGGAGACAGGTAGAGATGCTGATAGCCAGAGGGGAGTTCGCAAGTTATATTCAAGGACCAGCGGTGGAGCAGAACCGACCAATGGAGCACGTGAAGAAGAATCAGAAGTCGAATTCTCACAACACGCAACCAGTTCGAGTAATTAATGTAATTCACGGTTGGCCAGAACCTGTCGAGGAATCAGATGAACTGCTTCGAACACCCCTTCGCCAGGCACGGATGAAGAGAAGGATAGGCAGTGTAAACACTCTGCACCAACAGAGCGCATCGGCGCAGATAAAGTTTGACGCAATAGACTTGTTGCGTGTTCAGATCCCTCATGAGGACCCGCTAGTCGTAAGTTTGACAGTGGCCAAATGCTTAGTGCGCAGAGTTTTAATTGACCCTGGAAGTAGTGCGAACATCATGCCAAGAGATACATTCAATCGGCTCGAGATCAAACAGGATTGGCTGAAATCCACCGGGAATCCACTATTAGGGTTTGATGGAAAGCAAGTGGAGCCCGTCAGCATGGTGGAGGTAGCGGTACATGCTGCCGAGAGGGTTTTAATAGAAACCTTTGTAGTTGTTGAAATTCATCCCAATCTTTTGATGGGCAGAGGGTGGATCCACAGAGTTCAAGGTGTTCCTTCCATTCTGCATCAGGTAATGAGATGCCTGGGACCGGACGGAACCAAAGTGATTGACATTCATGGAGACCAAGTTGCAGCTAAAAAATGTTACTCTATAACGCTGAAACATGCCGGAAAGGGGAAAGCTCCCATTCGTTCAGTAAGTCCGAGATAGCAATTACAGGAGCCTCCCTCCAAGCAGAATGGAGAGGAGGAACCAGTAGGCTTGACTGAAGAACCCCTGTTTGATGTGCAGATCGATCAGTTCCGACCGGAACGGACAAGCAGAGTAAGGGACGACTCGTTGAAGAGGAAAAGCAGGAATTAGTTGATTTTTTGTCTCAAAACGCAGATGTGTTCGCATGGAGTCACCTAAACATGCCAGGGATCGACCATTCGGTATCTTGTCACTCCTTGAACGTTAACCCTAATGCAAAACCTGTAAAGCAGAAGCAGCGACGGTTTGCCCCCGAGCGCAACCGAATTATTGCCGAGGAGGTTGACAAGCTGCTTGATGCGGGGTTTGTAAGAGAAGTTTACTACCCCGACTGGCTATCGAATGTGGTCGTTGTGCAGCAGAAAAATGGGAAATGGCGCGTATGTATTGATTTTACTAATTTAAACAAAGCTTGTTCGAAGGATAGCTTCCCGCTGCCAAAGATTGATCAGATGGTGGATGCAACTACTGGATATGAACGCTTGACCTTTTTAGATGCTTATTCAGGTTATAATCAGATCCCCATGGACCCCGCCGATGAAGAAAAAACTTCTTTCGTTACCAAACGCGGGACGTATTGCTACAAAGTTATGCCATTCGGACTGAAGAACGCCAGAGCAACTTACCAATGACTTATTAGCAAGATTTTTAAGGAACAAATAGGGAAGACAGTGGAGGCTTACACTGATGATATGGTGGTCAAAAGTAAGAAGAAAGCTGATAATGTGCAGCATCTTCGAGACGTGTTTGATGTGTTGCGGCGATATGGAATGAAGCTCAATCCGACCAAGTGCTCGTTCGGTATAAGTTCAGGCCAATTCCTAGGGCACGTGGTTAATCTCAGAGGCATCGAGGCAAGCCCTGCCGAAGCAGGTGCTCTGACTAAGAATGCCGAGCCGACGACAATCAAAGAAGTGCAAACACTTACGGGACGGATTGCTGCACTAAGCCGTTTCATTTCCAAATTGTCAGATCGATGCAAACCATTTTTTGACACAATACGGAACCACGGCAGGTAGGTTTGGGGAAATGAACAACGCCTAGCGTTAACTGCTCTGAAAAAATATATGCAGAACCTTCCGGTACTGTCAGCTCTAGAATCAGGCGAAAAGCTGTTTTTATATCTCGGAGTATCCAGCATCGCGACAAGTGGCGTTCTGATCTGCTACGCAGAAGGGAAGCAATATCCAGTGTTCTATGTTAGCAAGACAATGACTGAGGCTGAAAGACGTTATTCAAAGGCAAAGCGGGTGATACTCTCGCTAGTGCATGCGAAAAGAAAGCTTAGGCATTTTTTTGAATCCCATCCTATCATCGTTCTAACCACTTTCCCTATCAGAATAATCTTGTATAAACCAGATCTCTCCGGAAGAATGACGAAATGGGCCATAGAGTTAAGCTCATTTGATATCACATACGAACCTAGAACAGCAGTCAAAGGGCAAGCGGTGGCAGATTTTTTACTAGAATGTGATTCAGATGACGTGAAGGAGGATCTTTGTAGTTGCTTATGGAAACTCTTCGTCGATGGATCCTCAAATCAGATGGGTGCAGGTATTGGGATCAAACTGCAGACGCCAGAAGGTACAGCCTTAAGCTAAGCGCTTCGGCTTGAATTCGCAGCTACGAACAATGAGGCAGAGTATGAAGCGTTGCTGGCAGGAATAAAGCTTGCCAAGGAACTTAAGGTCAGGAATTTGAATGTTTTTAGTGACTCACAGTTAATCGTTCGGTAGGTGAGGGGTGAGTATGAAACTAAGGATGAAACGATGGAAGCATATCGTTCTGCTGTTATACGGGAGGCGAAGAACTTTGAAAAAATTAAATTCATTCAAATTCCGAGGGAGTATAACGAAGATGCCGACAGGCTAGCATGTAGTGCCTCGGGTTCTGGAAAAACATTGGCAAGGGTGATTCCAGTGGGAATATTAAACCAGCCATCCATTTTCGAAGAACCTTCAAGCTCAGATCCTTGGCCAGTGAATGTTATTCCATATGAGCCAAGTTGGATTGATCCGATCATAACTTACATCCGAGATGGTACTCTGCCTGAACAAAGAGATGAGGCTAGGAAAATCAAAGCGAAAGCTACAAAGTACGCCGTAGTGCATAACCAGTTATACAGAAGATCTTTTTTCGGACCGTACTTAAAGTGTGTTACCCCCACAGAGGCTCGGCAAATATTACGAGCTATTCATGAAGGCGTATGTGGAAACCACTCAGGGGTGAGATTATTAGCACACAAAGCAATGGCTCAAGGGTACTTCTGGCCAAACATGTCGCGAGATTCGGAAGAATTATCCAGAAGGTGCGATAAGTGCCAAAGGTTCGGACCACTGATTCACCAACCGCCTGAAGACTTGCACGTAATGGCCACACCATGACCTTTCGCACAATGGGGGATGGATGTAGTTGGTCCTCTACCAACTGCCAGAGCTCAGAACAAGTATGTGTTACTGGCTACAGACTACTTTACTAAGTGGGTGGAAACAGAGCCATATCCGAGCGTTACTCAAACTCATGTGAGACGATTCATTTGGAGTAATATTATTTGCCGGTTTGGTGTTCCGAGATCAATCGTCATGGATAATGGTACCAACCTTGACAGTAAGCAAGTAAGAGAGCTGTTGGAGGAATATGGAATTAATCAAAAGCTGGCTGCAGTAAGTCACCCACAGGCCAATGGACAAGCGAAAATTACAAATAGAACAATCTTTACTTGTATCAAGAAGAAACTAGAGGAAAGGAAAGGAAGGTAGTTAGATGAACTGCCGAACGTCCTATGGGCCTACAGAACGACCCCTAGACGACCGACCGGAGAAAACCCATTCACCATGGCGTATGGAACCGAGGCAGTTATACCAGTCGAGCACTTAGTTCCGACTGTTCGAAGCTTGGCATGGAACCGTGAGCATAATGACAGTATGCTAAGGTTTAACCTCGATTTACTGGAAGAAAAAAGGGACGCAGCAGCGGTAAGGCTCGCATCTTACCAGCAGACGCTTGCGAACAGCCATAACAGGAAAGTAAAGCACAGAGACTTTAGGCCAGGTGACCTGGTTCTAAAAAAGAAGGCGGGGATAGTCAAAAAGATGATGCCACCATGGGAAGGCCCATACAGAATTGCAGAGGCCATAGGAAAAGGGGCGTATACCTTAGAAACCATGGCCGGAAGGCTGGTTAATAAGCCTTGGAATGCTACTTCTCTGAAGAGGTATTATCAATAAAAAGTTGAGATTCAATACTGAATTTTGTTTATTTTAAATTGAAAACAGTCGAATGTATAAGTTTCTGAGATTTATAAAGATTGCACTCCTCTTTAAAAGGCTAAGCAAAGTAAGTGGCAGCTGGCACTATGAGCTGAACGCCAAACACTTGCTAAGAAAAATAAAAGACCAAGTGGTAAGTGGCATTCCAGCCTAGCGTCAGGCACCTAAGCAAAGTAAGTGGCAGCTGACACTATGAGCCGAACGCCAAACACTTGCTAAGAAAAATAAAAGGCCAAGTGGCAAGTGGCATTCCAGCCGAGCGCCAGGCACTTAAGCAAAGTAAGTGGCAGCTGGCACTATGAGCCGAACGCCAAACACTTGCTAAGAAAAATAAAAGGCCAAGTGGCAAGTGGCATTCCAGCCGAGCGCTAGGCACCTAAGCAAAGTAAGTGGCAGCTGACACTATGAGCCGAACGCTAAACACTTGCTAAGAAAAATTAAAGGCCAAGTGGCATTCCAGCCGAGCGCCAGGCGCCTGGACAAAGTAAGTGGCAGCTGACACTATGAGCCGAACGCCAAACACTTGCTAAGAAAAATAGAGGGCTAAGTGGCAAGTGGCATTCTAGCCGAACGCCAGGCGCCTAAGTAAAGTAAGTGGCAGTTGGCACTATGAGCCGAACGCCAAACACTTACCAAAAAAAAAAAAAAAAAAGTCGGCCATCTCATTAATAAGGTTCAGAGGGTTACAAAAAAATGAGGTGTAAAGATGGCGAATATACCAAAGTCAGTACATTTAAAAAAAAAAAAAAGAAGTTCTAACTAAGAGGCGTTTGCCTCGTCGGCCTCTTGATGATGTTGGGCTGCCTCCTCATTATTGGTGGTGTCGCCGTCCTCACGAGGTGGAGAGTCAAGGTGAATGACAGAATCGTTCTGTTGAGTCCTACCCTCAACAGCGTTGGAAGAATCATTCTGCTGAGGGTTATCTTCAGCAGTAACAGCAGATGAAGTCAAGGTGGACAGAGGAAGAATGTCCTAAGTCAGAGCAGCAGAAGGGGTAGGAGTGATCTGAGAAGACGTAATCTCCTGACATTCATTAAATATGCCCTCGGCAGCGGTGGAGTCTGGATCGGTATAAACACCAGGAGGGTCAATATCCAGTTCTTTATCAACATTATCAGGGGTAGAACCAGTCTAACCCTCATCAGGAACGCGATCAGCGTAACCCTCTCGGAACCCCTGAGCATATCTGAGGGCTCCAACTCTAGAAAACCGAGCATGCAGAGCTAGCATACCACCATTTACCCTGCTGATGGTATCAAGTAAAGCGTTGCGCTCGTCCAAGGCTCTTTTCTCAAAGGCTATCCGAGCGGATTGCTCATCACTCAGAAGGCGTAGCAGTTCTTCCTTCTAAGCCTTAAGGGATTCCCGCTCGGTGTGCCAGACGCTCTTTTCAAGCTGCAGAGCATTCCTCTCATCCTGAAGAGAGTCAGTCTCCTTCCTCAGTGAATCCCTCTCTTTTTTAATTTTACCAAGCTGAACCATCAACCCGGTCTTCTGAGCAGCCAAATCATCGTTCTCCTTGTTCGCTGCATTAAGGCTGTCAGAAAGCGCGCGGACCTTGGCATTCACATGCTCAACTTGTTTCTGCATAGCCATCATCCCGTACAAGGTCTGTAGAGATATACAGGACAATTGGTTAAGCCGAGCAGATGGTTAGAAGAAAATAAGTGTAAAGAGTGTGTAAAGATTTATTGACTAAGGGGCAGAAGTTACCTCCATGGCGGACAAGGGAAATCGGCTGAACACCTCCCTCTGAGACAGACCTTTGGCTACCTCGATGTCCTTGGGAGTCCACATACTCCTGTAGTAAGCCATTGCGGTCTGACCATCTTTGAACATGGT